AAGGATCACATTTAGTGGTCTCATATAAACGATGTCAAGGATCACATTTAGTGTTCTCATATAAACAATGTCAAGGATCACAGTTGGTGGTCTCATTTAAACGATGTCAAGGATCACATTTAGTGGTCTCATATAAACGATGTCAAGGATCACATTTAGTGGTCTCATATAAACAATGTCAAGGATCACATTTAGTGGTCTCATATAAACAATGTCAAGGATCACATTTAGTGGTCTCATATAAACGATGTCAAGGATCACATTTAGTGGTCTCATATAAACGATGTCAAGGATCACATTTAGTGGTCTCATATAAACGATGTCAAGGATCACATTTAGTGGTCTCATATAAACAATGTCAAGGATCACAGTTGGTGGTCTCATTTAAACAATGTCAAGGATCACATTTAGTGGTCTCATATAAACGATGTCAAGGATCACATTTAGTGGTCTCATATAAACAATGTCAAGGATCACATTTAGTGGTCTCATATAAACAATGTCAAGGATCACAGTTGGTGGTCTCATTTAAACAATGTCAAGGATCACATTTAGTGGTCTCATATAAACGATGTCAAGGATCACATTTAGTGGTCTCATATAAACAATGTCAAGGATCACATTTAGTGGTCTCATATAAACAATGTCAAGGATCACATTTAGTGGTCTCATATAAACGATGTCAAGGATCACATTTAGTGGTCTCATATAAACAATGTCAAGGATCACAGTTGGTGGTCTCATATAAACAATGTCAAGGATCACATTTAGTGGTCTCATATAAACGATGTCAAGGATCACATTTAGTGGTCTCATATAAACGATGTCAAGGATCACATTTAGTGGTCTCATATAAACAATGTCAAGGATCACATTTAGTGGTCTCATATAAACAATGTCAAGGATCACAGTTGGTGGTCTCATTTAAACAATGTCAAGGATCACATTTAGTGGTCTCATATAAACGATGTCAAGGATCACATTTAGTGGTCTCATATAAACGATGTCAAGGATCACATTTAGTGGTCTCATATAAACAATGTCAAGGATCACATTTGGTGGCATCATATAAACAATGTCAAGGATCACATTTGGTGGTCTCATATAAACAATGTCAAGGATCACATTTAGTGGTCTCATATAAACAATGTCAAGGATCACATTTAGAGGTCTCATATAAACAATGTCAAGGATCACAGTTGGTGGTCTCAAATAAACAATGTCAAGGATCACATTTAGTGGTCTCATATAAACGATGTCAAGGATCACATTTAGTGGTCTCATATAAACGATGTCAAGGATCACATTTAGTGGTCTCATATAAACAATGTCAAGGATCACAGTTGGTGGTCTCATATAAACAATGTCAAGGATCACATTTGGTGGTCTCATATAAACAATGTCAAGGATCACATTTGGTGGTCTCATAAAAACAATGTCAAGGATCACATTTAGTGGTCTCATATAAACAATGTCAAGGATCACAGTTGGTGGTCTCATATAAACAATGTCAAGGATCACAGTTGGTGGTCTCATATAAACAATGTCAAGGATCACATTTAGTGGTCTCATATAAACAATGTCAAGGATCACATTTGGTGGTCTCATATAAACAATGTCAAGGATCACATTTAGTGGTCTCATATAAACAATGTCAAGGATCACAGTTGGTGGTCTCATATAAACAATGTCAAGGATCACATTTAGTGGTCTCATATAAACAATGTCAAGGATCACATTTGGTAGTCTCATATAAACAATGTCAAGGATCACATTTGGTGGTCTCATATAAACAATGTCAAGGATCACATTTGGTGGTCTCATATAAACAATGTCAAGGATCACAGTTGGTGGTCTCATATAAACAATGTCAAGGATCACATTTAGTGGTCTCATATAAACAATGTCAAAGATCACAGTTGGTGGTCTCATATAAACAATGTCAAGGATCACAGTTGGTGGTCTCATATAAACAATGTCAAGGATCACATTTGGTGGTCTCATATAAACAATGTCAAGGATCACATTTGGTGGTCTCATATAAACAATGTCAAGGATCACATTTGGTGGTCTCATATAAACAATGTCAAGGATCACATTTAGTGGTCTCATATAAACAATGTCAAGGATCACATTTGGTGGTCTCATATAAACAATGTCAAGGATCACATTTAGTGGTCTCATATAAACAATGTCAAGGATCACATTTGGTGGTCTCATATAAACAATGTCAAGGATCACATTTAGTGGTCTCATATAAACAATGTCAAGGATCACATTTGGTGGTCTCATATAAACAATGTCAAGGATCACAGTTGGTGGTCTCATATAAACAATGTCAAGGATCACATTTAGTGGTCTCATATAAACAATGTCAAGGATCACAGTTGGTGGTCTCATATAAACAATGTCAAGGATCACATTTAGTGGTCTCATATAAACAACCTTAAAAACATCAAGTCAGAAAATGGTTGGATACACTGGTTACAGAATTGAAATCCTGAGAATCTGCTTGAATAATTAGGACAGGAGTCATAATATTACAGGACATGCTAAAAGGAACAATTTAAATATTTCCTATAATTCCTTTAATTTTCAATAAGGACTTCTGGTTCAATATGGTAGATAGCTGACTTGCTCTTGACACTCTGAACAGTTATTTGTTTTTAGCTAGGGTTTGCTGATGAGAATTCACCATTTCTAAACCAGAAGTCCAAAAGGTCCGTCAGACAACTACCTATTTTTGATGACTGCAATAAACTGTCTTTGGGTCTTAGCCTATTTCAACACTTTTTTTTTAACTGTCCAATAAATTTTCAAGTATTTTTCTGTTGAAACATGTACTAATTGATTCACAGCCATATGTTAAAACTGGTTCTATGTAACATGTGAGAATTCTCTTTCTAACCTCCAAATATGGAATTTGTGCATTAAGCGTAACAAATGGCTGTGAATCCTCAACAATTAATAAAGAAGCAAAACATCAGAAAGAGAAGAGATTCAGTAATTTAGGTCACAACAGGTCACTGACCACACAAACAACCCACAGGTGGGGTCATAGGACACAAGAGGACACTGACCAAACAAACAACCCAACCATGGGGACACAGGTGGAGTTTTCAGGACTCAAGAGGACACTTAGCTTACAAACAACCCAAAGGTGTGATTTTCAGGACAGAACAGGACACTGAGTACACAGCCCTACCTGAGAAACTCTTGCTCACTTATGCCTGGAAGTAGCTTGCTCATGGTTTCTGTCAGCTGAGTCTGATATCACAAGTCAATCAATGAAGCAAACATAGATTTACAGGCAACAATAATGTACACAAATTGGCACCAATAATATACACACTTGCAGGTAACAATAATATATACACTTGCAGGTGATAATAATGTACACACTTGCAGGTAACAGTAATGTATACATTTGCAGGTACAATAAAGTACACACCTGCTGGTAACAATGTACACACCTGCAGGTAACAATAATATACACTTGCAGGTAACAATAATGTACACATTTCTAGGTAAACAATTATATACAAACTTGCAGGTAACAATCATAAACACTTATAGATAACTATAATGCACATGCCTACAGGTAACAGTAATGTACACACTTTAAGGTAACAATAATAATGTATACGCTTACAAGTAACAATAATGTACATGCTTGCAGGTGAAAATACTGTACACACTTGCAAGTAACAAAAATGTACACGCTTACAGGCAACAGAAACATACACGCTTGCAGGCAACAATCACGTACATTTACATGTAATAATAATGTACACATTTGAAGGTAAAAATAATGTACACACTTTCAGGTAACAATAGTGTACATGCGCTCAGCTAACAATCACGGACACTTACAGGTAACAATAATGTACACACTTGCAGGTAACAATAATGTACACACTTGCAGGTAATAATAATAAACACACTTGCACGTAACAATTATGTACACACTTTCAGGTAACAAAAGTGTACACGCGCGAAGCTAACATTCACGGACACTTACAGGTAACAATAATGTACACACTTGCAGAATAATGTACAAACAGCCCATTTCAGTGACATCAACCTTTTGTCCTTACTCTGGTAACTGTGTGTTGTGTACGTGTGCGTGCATGTCTGCACATGTACATGTGTGTTTGTGACAGAAATAGATAGAAACGGTGGAACAGACAGTGAGAGAGAGAGAGAGAGAGAGAGAGAGAGAGAGAGAGAGAGAGAGAGAGAGAGAGAGAGAGAGAGAGAGAGAGAAAGAGAAAGGCTTAAAGTCAGAATAACAGTCGGGGATTCAACTTCATCATAGATGTCATCCCATAACAGCTCCATACCTCTGTGAGTCGAAAACCACACAAAACGCCCACTGCTGTGTCATGTGAACAGTCAGACAGACAACAGTCCTGGTAAAATCTAACAGGTTGCGTTTACATCAAAGGCGAAAAGCAACCACCAGAGATGTCAAAACCTACAGTCTGTCACCAGAATTGCTATTCATAGTTGATGAAAGCAGCAGTGATGACAAATACAACATAAGCAGTCTAGGGTGATAGTGAGGGACATAATAAGCTTAATTAATAAGCTTCACCTGATTAACAACAGCCAATGAGAAACTGATACAAACACAGAAAATGAACATTTATAAATTAAATATAAACGACAGTAAACACAACTAGAAACACCAAGTAAACATTTTTTCAGGTGAATGTCAGCAGAAACACACAAAACAATCTGAAGAGAACAGATATTTATTTAAAAAATGACTGAGACGGTATGACTAAAAAACACAGTAAATAAGGGGGGGGAGGGGACATTGTAAGAGAAAAGATATTATATTTAAAATAAAAAATGACTGAGACGGTATGACTAAAAAAACACAGTAAATAAGGGGGACATTGTAAGAGAAAACACGAGAAGAAGAGAAAAACAATGACAAAGGAAGAGGTGAATAAATGACAAAACAAACTTGCTGTGAAAATGAGCCAGCTCACCTTGATGACACTCATCCTATTGAGTTCTGTGGTTTTCTTCTGGTCATAATCTTTGGACTTGCTAAGCTCATCAGCCTAGGGAATCATCAACCAGAGATTTGTCATCAGTCACTTCTGCTTCCACTCCTGAAGTTCATACGACTATCTCACTTTATTTTCTAACAGCAGCAACTATACTAGATCACTGATGAAGTAGGGTGGGTAACTCTCATGCCAGACTTCACCATCAACATCAAGTGCCTTGCAAAGTGGCTGTTCCCCTTCCCCTAAGCTCCAAGAGAAGGTATCAATGTGTGATGAGTTGTCTCAGTCAAAAGTTCAGTCATGGGAATGATGTCCATTGTCACATCATGTCTAGACTAGATGATCCCCATACCAGCCACAGTCTTACTAACAGCTATTACCCTCATACCAGCCACAGTCTTACTAACAGCTATTACCCTCATACCAGCCACAGTCTTACTAACAGCTATTACCCTCATACCAGCCACAGTCTTACTAACAGCTATTACCCTCATACCAGCCACAGTCTTACTAACAGCTATTACATTCATACCAGCCACAGTCTTACTAACAGCTATTACCCTCATACCAGCCACAGTCTTACTAACAGCTATTACCCTCATACCAGCCACAGTCATACTAACAGCTATTACCCTCATACCAGCCACAGTCTTACTAACAGCTATTACCCTCATACCAGCCACAGTCTTACTAACAGCTATTACCCTCATACCAGCCACAGTCTTACTAACAGCTATTACCCTCATACCAGCCAGTCTTACTAACAGCTATTACCCTCATACCAGCCACAGTCTTACTAACAGCTATTACCCTCATACCAGCCACAGTCTTACTAACAGCTATTATTACCCTCATACCAGCCACAGTCTTACTAACAGCTATTACCCTCATACCAGCCACAGTCTTACTAACAGCTATTACCCTCATACCAGCCACAGTCTTACTAACAGCTATTACCCTCATACCAGCCACAGTCTTACTAACAGCTATTACCCTCATACCAGCCACAGTCTTACTAACAGCTAATACCCTCATACCAGCCACAGTCTTACTAACAGCTATTACCCTCATACCAGCCACAGTCTTACTAACAGCTATTACCCTCATACCAGCCACAGTCTTACTAACAGCTATTACCCTCATACCAGCCACAGTCTTACTAACAGCTAATACCCTCATACCAGCCACAGTCTTACTAACAGCTATTACCCTCATACCAGCCACAGTCTTACTAACAGCTATTACCCTCATACCAGCCACAGTCTTACTAACAGCTAATACCCTCATACCAGCCACAGTCTTACTAACAGCTATTACCCTCATACCAGCCACAGTCTTACTAACAGCTATTACCCTCGTACCAGCCACAGTCTTACTAACAGCTATTACCCTCGTACTAGCCACAGTCTTACTAACAGCTATTACCCTCATACCAGCTACAGTCTTACTAACAGCTATTACCCTCATACCAGCCACAGTCTTACTAACAGCTATTACCCTCATACCAGCCACAGTCTTACTAACAGCTATTACCCTCATACCAGCCACAGTCTTACTAACAGCTATTACCCTCATACCAGCCACAGTCTTACTAACAGCTATTACCCGCATACCAGCCACAGTCTTACTAACAGCTAATACATTCATACCAGCCACAGTCTTACTAACAGCTATTACCCTCATACAAGCCACAGTCTTACTAACAGCTATTACCCTCATACCAGCCACAGTCTTACTAACAGCTATTACCCTCATACCAGCCACAGTCTTACTAACAGCTATTACCCTCATACCAGCCACAGTCTTACTAACAGCTAATACCCTCATACCAGCCACAGTCTTACTAACAGCTATTACCCTCATACAAGCCACAGTCTTACTAACAGCTATTACCCTCATACCAGCCACAGTCTTACTAACAGCTATTACCCTCATACCAGCCACAGTCTTACTAACAGCTATTACCCTCATTAGCTCAGACAGTCAGATAGGTATGACTAAATTATGCGTTTTGAATAGGGTATAAAGTGTGGGAATGATGACACATGTGTGATCTGCCTGAGACTAAGTTAATTATTATAAAACAAGGTGCAGATGGTACCAAAGTGTGAGAATCATGCATGCTCAGCTTGGTCACAGTGACTTATGGATGTCAGCGCTGACCCGACTCTGCTGGCAACTAATGGCTGAACTATCATCTCTGCCAGTCAGCATGTTTCCTACTTCAGCCTCTGCACAATTTACTAGAGATGCACCAACTAGTCTCTCCCTGTTCTTTGAGTGCTGGTTTCCCTGTGACACACAATTTACTAGAGATGCACCAGGTCGCACCAACTAGTCTGTCCCTGTTCCTGGTGTGCTGGTTTCCCTGTGTCACACAATTTACTAGAGATGCACCAGGTCGCACCAACGTCTCTCCCTGTTCCTCGGGTGCTGGTTACCCTGTGTCACACAATTTACTAGAGATGCACCAGTTCGCACCAACCAGTCTGTACCTGTTCCTGGTGTGCTGGTTACCCTGTGTCACACAATTTACTAGAGGTGCACTAGTTCGCACCAACTAGTCTGTCCCTGTTCCCTGTAAAAGCTGGACAGTGATGATGGAAACAACTGCAATGACAGCGAAGATGATGATGATGGCAATGATGATGATGATGATGATGAAAATGTGACAATGACAATGTCTATAGTGGTAATGACAGTGAAACTGAATAAATGTAATTACTTCCTTGAGTCCGCCAATGTGGTCATAATGATTCTGAACCAATTGTTTCGTCTCTAAACACCTGTGAAACACAAGAAAACAATGAGCCAATAAATATGTGAACTGCTGGTCAATTGTTTCAAACCCCCATCAACTGAGGGATTCTTGAAACTGAGGAATGCTTAGTTTAATTTTGAATGCACTGGATTCTGAATTAGGACAAGAGAAGCAGTTCTCTGCAATACAGTTCCTGTGAAGGTGGTTCTCTTGTAGTGAACAGAGAGAAAACTCTCTCATCAGATCCATGAAAGCCTTTTTTACTACTCAGATGCCCTGAACATCAACGCACTGACCTCAGATGCCCTGAATGTCCACGCACTGACCTCAGATGCCCTGAACAGCCAGGCACTGGCCTCAGATGCCCTGAATGTCCACACACTGACCTCAGATGCCCTGAATGTCCACACACTGACCTCAGATGCCCTGAATGTCCACACACTGACCTCAGATGCCCTGAACAGCCAGGCACTGGCCTCAGATGCCCTGAATGTCCACGCACTGACCTCAGATGCCCTGAATGTCCACACACTGACCTCAGATGCCCTGAATGTCCACGCACTGACCTCAGATGCCCTGAATGTCCACGCACTGACCTCATATGCCCTGAACAGCCAGGCACTGGCCTCAGATGCCCTGAATGTCCACACACTGACCTCAGATGCCCTGAATGTCCACACACTGACCTCAGATGCCCTGAATGTCCACACACTGACCTCAGATGCCCTGAACAGTCAGGCACTGGCCTCAGATGCCCTGAATGTCCACGCACTGACCTCAGATGCCCTGAATGTCCACACACTGACCTAAGATGCCCTGAATGTCCACGCACTGACCTCAGATGCCCTGAATGTCCACGCACTGACCTCACATGCTCTGAACAGCCAGGCACTGGCCTCAGGTGCCCTGAATGTCCACACACTGACCTCAGATGCCATGAATGTCCACACACTGACCTCAGATGCCCTGAATGTCCACACACTGACCTCAGATGCCCTGAACAGCCAGGCACTGACCTCAGATGCCCTGAACAGCCAGGCACTGGCCTCAGATGCCCTGAATGTCCACACACTGACCTCAGATGCCCTGAATGTCCACACACTGACCTCAGATGCCCTGAACAGCCAGGCACTGGCCTCAGATGCCCTAAACATTCATGTGCTGACCTCAGATGCCATAAACATTTATGCACTGACTTCAGATGCCCTTGTCATTAACATCCTGACCTTAGATACCCTGAATGGTCAAGCACTAACCTCAGATGCCCTGAATGGTCAAGCACTGACCTTAGGTTTACACTCTGCCTTTCAGATAACCATCAAGCAACCATCTAAACAACAAACTTTCCTAGAAAGATTCTACTTTAACAAAGTAATATTTCTGGCTGTGAATAAATCAACACAGTGAGTATAGAAAATTAAGGAGTAGGAAAGTTCAGCATAAATGAAAACTAGTATCAAGGACAGTCTACTATCATGTTTGTGCAGGATAGGGAAGACTATAAGGTCAGCAGGGGCTTTAATGTTCCTACATACAATGCTTCTTCTACCCTCTTCAGTTGATGTCTGTCTGTTTCACATTACCTGGCTGCATACTTTGTGGAGACACCTGTCTACAGTGGTTTGTTTGGAAGAAAATGCACAAAGTTTTAGTCAATGATCAATATATGACTTGTTTAAACAAAATATAAGTGGTCAATTAACAATTTATGACTAGTTTAAACAAAATACTAGTGGTCATTGATCAATGTATGACTAGTTTAAACGACATACAAGTGATCAATGATCAATGTATGACTTGTTTAAACATACATACATATGGTCAATGTATGACTTGTTTTAACAACATACCAATGGTCAAAGATAAATGCATGATTTGTTTTAACAACATGCGTATGGACAATGATCAATGTATTACTTGTTTTAACAACATAATATAGCCAATGATCAATGTATGACTTGTTTAAACAACATACATATGGTCAATGATCAATGTATGACTTGTTTAAACAACATAAATATGGTCAATGATCAATGTATGACATGTTTAAACAACATGCATATGGTCAATGATCAATGTATGATTTGTTTAAACAACATACATATGTTCAATGATCAATGTATGACTTGTTTTGTGCCGTTCTGATGGCACCTCATTGTCGCTGCTCTCTGACTCCGATGATGAGAATGTCGGACAGGCAAACAGCTTTTTCTTGGACACACCAGTTTAAGCCGTCGATATTGATAGCCTAGTAAAATCTTCTTGTTCACTGTCAGAAGTACACATTTCAAAGTCATTTTCGCTATCACTCCTTGACAAAAACTCCATCAATTCTTCATCAACTTTAACAAGTTTTCTTGCCATTTTTTACTAACAAAGTGTAGAATAATTCAAAACCACAAAAATATATCAGGGCACAGAATACACAGATCACTGACCACGCTGTCACTGTAAACAAAGCGACAGGATAACGTGGAATGCAGTAAACAATGTTGCCACTTTTCTTTGACAAAACATCTAGAAATGGGTCATAAAATATTTAGAAATATCTAGAAATAACATCCAAATGAAACAGTCACAAATTACATCATCTTCATTGATGTCTGTCTCACAAGATCCACAGGATAAATTAACTTGGATGATGAAGTTGAAGTTTCGGATAAATAATGACTCTGGTATGCTTTAGCTATTTTAATTTCTTTTAATACACAATCAGGGAGCTGATGTTGAATAGCATTTTCCTACTCTCATCAAACCAAATTTTATTTTAAAGATAACATTTAGGAAGTAAAGTTTCATCCTATTTCTTAGATCAGATTGGATGTATTTCATAGCACTGAAAACTCTTTCTACGCCAGCATTTGAATAGTAGTATCATGACTGACAAGGCACATTCAAAGAGCTTACAGAATAAACTGTTTCCTGAGGCATCTTTAAATTGTCTTTCAATCTAAAACGCTTCAGTTTCTGTTTTGTTTGTCCAGTCAACAAAGTTTTTTTGGGTTGACATTCTGCTTCCACCACATTATTATCAGTAGCCCCTAAAAATTTCATAACTTTACAATATTTAGGTATGTCCTTTACTGGCTGAAGTAAGTTGCTTACAGAAAAGAGTGAAATATTTTTCAATACATCTAGATTTTCAGGAAGTCTCTGTTTCAGTTGCTTGAGGAAATTTTGACAGTGTTCTTAAGTTCTCTTCATTTTATGTTAACAGTCCCTGGAACCGAAGTTTTATGCTTTTTTTTTAGTCTCTGCACGACTCTTGAAGTCTTGTATTTTTGCTGTAATTTTACGCTTGTAGTACATACAACGAGCCTTTGTCCTATCCCCAGGAACTGCCAACACCCAGTATTTAATTATGTCATCATGCAGCCACTCTTTCCAAAATTTTTGTTCATACTGCTTTACTTTTGGCATGTTGAAAAGTTTTTCAAAGTGAAAGACATATATGAAGGTGAACAATTATTTAAAAAATGACATAAAAGAACAATAAAGTCAGCATCAAAGCTATAATGCACAACACAGTGAAGATACAGTTTAAACAAAGTTAGTGATTTACACGCGCTCTTAATAAGTACTGGGGATGCCAGATTGTTGAGCTTTGACACCAGTGAGTTCAAAGTTTAAGTAATCGCAGTACATGCCCTGACCAAAACAAAAAAACTGTGCAATAAATATTTCATACAGTAATTTTTAAACTGACATTGAAAGAAAAAAAATCTATAAAATATCTCCCTACAAATGAAAAACATCTAGAATTACATCTAGAATCTAGACGTTAAAAACACCCTCTAGATGCAAGGGGAAACATCTATATCCGGATGTAAAACATCCAAAGTGGCAACACTGGTAAACACACCTAAATTCATGTGCCTGTGCTTTTAATTGTATGTATATGAATCAGTTGAATCTAAATATAGCTAATGTATATTACCCCTTTAGCCCCTGAGACAAGAGCTCACAGAAATCTGTAAGGAAAGTCCAAAAACATGTTGTAACATCCATAGCACTGGGGATCAAGACAAAAATACCATCCAAAGACAGACGTATCAGCGTTCGGGAAAAGACATCCATAGCAGCAAAAGGGTTAAACAACCTACATAAAGTCATTGGTCAATGTATTATTTGTTGAAACAATATACATATATGGTCAATGATCAATTTATGACTTGTTTAAACAACATATAAGCGGTAAATGATTATGTATGACTTGTTTAAACAACATATAAGCGGTAAATGATTATGTATGACTTGTTTAAACAACATACAAGTGGTCAATGGTCAATTTATGACTTGTTTAAAAATGAATCAATGTAAGAGCAACAACTGCCTCAGATGAAAACTCACAGGATGTACATTTTGTCTAGCCGGCTGTCTCTGTCATCAAGCTTTTTGTTGTTGACTAACTTTGTCGCTTCTTTGATAACTTGGTCAGTCTGGAAGCAAGCAGGTGAAAACATCATACAGAAACATTTCCATTTTTTTTTCTCTCACAATTACGGGTATCTTTTAGGAGTTATGGCTTAAGGTTATCTTTTAGACTTAGTGTTATGTTTATTTTTTAGGGTTAGAGTTATCTTTTAGGCTCAGTGTTATGTTTATCATTTAGGGTTAGGGTTATCTTTTAGGCTTAATGTTATGGTTATCTTTTAGTGCTAGGGGTATCTTTTAGGATTATGGTTATCTTTTATGTTTAGTATTATCTTTTTATGTTAAGGGTATTGTTTAGTGTTAGGGTTATCTTTTATGCTTAGCGTTATCTTTTAGTGCTAGGGTACATTTCAGTGTTAGAGTTATATTTTAGGCTTAGTGTTAGGGGTATCTTTTAGGGTTAGAGTTAACACTGAGGGTTAGCTTTTAGTATTAGGGTTAGAGTTATCTTTTAGGGTTAGGGTTATCTTTTGAGATTAGGGTTAAATTTTAGTATTAAGGTTAGGGTTATCTTTAAGAGATGGGATTATCTTTAAGGATTAGGGTTATTTTTAGATGTTATGTTTAGGGTTATCTTTTAGGGGTTAGGAATTAGGTTTAGTGTTATTTCTTAGGAGATATGGTTTAGGGTGTAGGTTATCACTTAGGAGTTATGGGTTAGGGATACCTTTTCAAAGAAACTGTAGGTAACAGTTAAAAAAGCCCCTTTCTATTAGGAGTCTGACCAGCTGAAGTCTAAATACAGCCAAGGGCAGCTCCATCAGTGGCCCCATATTATAATGAAGTCTTTTTTCACACTTTGGGGCATTCTGGGTATATGATACTAGTTCCACCAATCAGCATTCAAGGAGAGATGTGGCCAGTCAGAACTAAGTTTTCTAAACATTTTCTAGTACACATAATGTATTAATGTAAACTAATTAACTGCTTCAGACAGAATGAGATTAAGCTGCTTCAGACAGAGCGAAATACTGCAGACCAAATGAGATAAAACAGCTCTCCTTCGAACTTCATCCCCATATTATGGCGGCCAAACAAATACCCTAACAGGGCCTCAGTCGTGTGTAAAACACGGACTTCCTCCGACGAATACATCGGGCAAAACTGGGATTACTGTCTGTTGACACTTTCAAGAAATGCAACAAAACACAAGATAATAGCGACATGGCAGGGAGATCATGCACTCCGACACAGGTTAGAGAGTGTTCTTCCGATTAAACTCACCGCCGAGAGTATTCCCCGCGCCGCTACGCCCGGCACGGATTGGGGGCTAAACTAACTGGCTGGGACTCACGAGCAGCAGCTATCGCATCTCCTGCAACTTACTCCAATTTATTTGCTCGCGAGTTCCAGCCATCTAGTTCAGCCCCCAATCTGCGCTGCATGTAGCGGTGCGCGGGATACTGTCGGCTGTGCTGCATAGTCGCAGAAATAGGTCCGCAATTAACATATCGCTGAAACCGTCTCAGAGCATGTGTTTGCGCTCCACAATACTGGCCTGTTATTCCGAGGCAATCCTAGTTTTGCCGTAATTTGTTCCTTTGCAGTCACTCCACATTTTACACACGACTGAGGCCCTGTTAAGTTATTTGTTTGGCCGCCATAATATGGGGACGAAGTTCGAAGGAGAGCCAGATAAACTAACAAATGCTGCAAATAGAATGAGATAAATTAAGAAATACTGCAAACAGAATGAGATAAACTAACAAACTCTCCAGACAGAATGAGATAAACTAACAATTGCTGCAGACAGAATGAGATAAATTATGGTAAATGCTATCTTTAATTAGATTGACAGTGCAATGCAACAGAACACACAGAGAATCTGTACACTGAAAAACTAATTCAACAGGTCCCCACTATTTAGAGTTTTTACTTCCAACAACCCTAACAGTGGAAAAAATGGTAGAGGCAGACCAAGAGAGAGATAGTTGATGCGCTGATAATCAGCGGCTGAAACGATGGCATGGAGGGATATCATCAAGAGAGCTGTTCCATGCAACAAGGAATCGTGATCTGAGATACATGAGCACTTACTCCAGCTGACAGGGCACATGATGAGGATAACCCGTAACACAAAGAAAGGGAAAAAAAACAGGCTAGAACGTGTTAGTGTTTTTAATTAAATGAATTGCTTTTTTAATTTGACACATTTAGCGAAATAAATTCATACTTATATTGTTTATAACTAATACACTTGCCTACAATATGAATTTAATTAATATCATGCTTTTACTTTCTTCTTTAGCGCGTCTCCTTGTTTCTGCGCCTGGCCCAGTGGGCCAAGCTGCCTGTTCCAGGGAGGCATGTCTGTAGACTAGAGAAGTTGTTGCTGGGATCTGTCCCGCCTGGCCGCCATTTGCAAACACTTCTGGTAGCCCGGAGATAGGCCACAGCCAAGTCTCAGCCCCAGTTTCGTATTTACAAAAATCAATCAATTGATCAATCATTTGTCGTCTTCAGCTGGAAGTTGGCTGCGATTGATGTCCAACACTCTATATTTGTAATTTTGCTGATACACTATCTTAGACAGCTTATATATATATATATATATATATATATATATATATATATATATATATATATATATATATATTCTTCTTATTCGCGTTCACCAGCTGTAAACTGGCGGAAAGTTCTGGTTGTTCATCCACTTCAGGACTGCAGTCCTGACAGATCTGACTCACCTAGATGTTAGGGCTCAGTAATCACCACCATCGACGACATGCCACATCATCACAATGGTTTGATTTTCGCCTTCAGGCGGACAGGGAACAAGTGTTTCCTTCACACAACATCATCATCATCCTCATCGCTGATGTGCCATCGCCACAATCACCTTTCCTTTTCTTTTTCATGCTCTGTAAAGCATTAATGAATATAATTATGCATTATGAGTTTCCCCAAAAGTAGTATCATCCTCAACCTCATTGCCGATATGCCACCACCATGATCACCATGCCTTTTCACATGTTATGAATGCATTTGTGTATTTATGTAATGTGAATATACTATATAATCACCATCATACTCATCGCCGATTTTCCATCACCATGATCACCATGTTTCTACCCTTTACATGCGATAAAATGTATGTATTTTGGATATAAATATACGTGTATATAAGTATGTATGTATGTATAATGTATGTATGATATAATGAAAGGAACAAAAACAATGCGTATATGTATTTTCAAGGGAAACAACGTCTCTTGACATTATCTCGCCAACAAACATACGAGTGGTGTCCCTCTCTTTCTAAGTCCAGCCCCAATTTGCCATTTCCTGCCTTGCTGTCCTATTTTTTGTTTTGTTGGTAATCATATTATGCATTGTTTCTTTTTTACCAAACATGTCTTCATTTAACACCTCATATAGCTAGTTTTCGTTAGCCCATCAACACATGTCACCAGCATCAATAAGCGGGGGCCCACCCCCTATTCCCCCCCCCCAAATCCTTTTCTGTCTTCTCCTCTCCCTACAATCAAAGATGCTTGGTTACATGGAGTCTAATGAAAACATCATTTGCCACGTTGAATAAATACATGTACATTACCATCGAAATGTACCGTTTCCGCTGACAGACCTAACGGCCCCAGCTTTCCTCAAAACCCCCGGTCCTCTCTGCCTCCCCCTGTCTCTTTTTTCTGTTAAATGTCAGTGAGAAACGGTACAAATCATCATCATTTTATTCTCATCATTTTATTGATTTTGCTTTTGTTTCACAAGAGATTTGTACAAATATGTTTCAACAATAAACACTTTAAAAAAAAATTTGTATGTAGACTGCTGGTTCCTTTCCTCTCAGGCAGATGCACTCCAACTTCGAAGGAACCTCCCAATTAGTTGACTCTTACGACATGCTGTTGGGCGGGCAGTGGATCTATTATTGTTTTCTCTATAGCAGGGCCCGGGAACCCAAACGGGGGCACCTTTCCGTCTTTCCAGACGATAGTGTTATATTGCGCTATGAGGAGGCATGAGACTCACAGCCCATGGCGATGGCGAGTGTGACTAGCAAGACCTGCCCGTGTCAAGAAAAGTCTTCCACAATGATAGCATGGGATTTCAGGACAATTGTTGTCAACATTTGTGTTTAATCCGTTTCTTTTCAGACGCTCAACTCTCATCCTTTCTGCAATCATTTCTTCCTTCCCTATCATTCCCTTCCTGGTGTGCCCTTTCCACACAACACGGCCCATGGCATTTTGTTCCCATGAGTCCACCCCAATACCTGTATCATCCTTGTCTCGCTTGCACACATCTTTATACCGTAGTAGAGGTCGGCTTTTAATTCACCAGAAAGGATGTCCTTAGGGACTCTGCCATCCTCCATTCTCCAGGTGTGACCCAGCCACCTGAGCCTTCATAGACTGAGTATGAAAAAGACTGTTGTAGTACCTGCTCTTTCCAATACATCAGTGTTTGTGATTTTTGTCCTGCCACTTAATGCCAAGTATTCTTCTTAGACATCGCATGGGGAAGTTGTTTAGCCGTCTCTCCTGGTGCAAATAGGTTGACCAAGTTTCACTGCCATAAAGCAGAGTGCTGAGAACACAAGCCTATTAGACAAGGGTTTTTGTTTTTGTATTGTGAGCTTTCTGATGACGATGATATATATATATATATATATATATATATATATATATATATATATATATATATATATATATATATATATATAAACATTATCGTCATCCAACGCCTTGTCGAGTGGCGTGGGCGATCATGCCTTTCCAGAATCTTCGATCCACAGCTACGTGTATTAGTTCGTATGTTGATGCCCCTCCATGACATGACAGAAGGCCATCAAGAATCATCTCCCGCTGTCTTTCTCTGTCTCTCTTTCTGCAGATCTTTTCAGTGGTCACAACATGTTCCATTTTCCCTCTTCTCATAACCAAATGATGACTGTCTCTTTCTGATGTTTGTGAAAAGTGGTCTCCGAGCACTCGTCTTTTTCAAAACATCTGGGTTGCTCTTCTTAGCTGTCCAAAAAATTCTAAGGATTTTTCTGTAAAACCGTATCTTTGAGGCCTTAAGATATTGTTCGGCTTGTTTATTAATTGTCCAGGCTTCACAACTGTATGTTAAAATTGGCTTTATATAACATGCGGTTAGGGTTATCTTTTGAGATTTCTTTTCGTAACCTCCAATTACGGATTTACTGCATAAAATGATCTTCATTTGATAAAATGCAGTGTTGGTGTATCCTATTGTGTTCTTTATCTCTGTTATACATGCTCCATCGGATATTATCCATATGCTTAGATACTTTAATTTCTGTTCTTGTCCCACCTTTAGGCCCTATTCTTTTCTTGGATATCACAATTACTTCTGTCGTCCCATTTTTTCAAACTAAGGCCCAGTTCTGCACTTTCTGCCGCCACCGTATCTATCAATTCCTGTAGCTCTTTCTGACTTGTCGCTATCAAGACGGTGTCATCACCATAACGCAGGTTGTTTATGTTATGACTACCAGCTTCAGTTCCTGGCATATCCATGACAGATCTCGTTACATATTCACTGTATAATTAAAACAAATCAGGTGCTAGTACACATCATTATCTTACTCCCCTCTTTATGCTCTGAAATGTTCCCAAATTGTTATTAATTCGTATATCTGCTGTTTGCTATCAATACATGTTCTTTATAATTCGTAAAACTTTCCTATCAGTTTCGCTTTTCCAGTATTATTTTATAGATTATTTCTTCATGTTTCACACAGTCAAATGATCTTGTATAGTCAATAAAGCATAAGTAAAGATCGTGTTTGTTTTTTTTTTTTTTTTTATACTTTTATAGCTTTTTCTGAAAGAGTCATGAAGATGGCATTGTTTTTAATTTTTTTATCTCCAAATCCACAATGTTCTTCACTGATTTCTTATTTAATCACGTTTATTATTATTCTCAGTAACATTTTTGTCACACATATATATATATATATATATATATATATATATATATATATATATATATATATATATATATATATATATGAGTCCCAGGGGGTTTACTATTAGAGGTCCAACGGGAAGTCAAGAGAGACGTAATTATAGCAGAAGGCATGGTACCAGGAACGAGGGGCAGGGGCCAACCAACACGAAGATGGGCACAGGATTTAAGTGACTCCTTGGGTAGGAAAGTAGAAGAGGCGGGAGAACTGGCGAGAAACAAGTTTCTTTCAGACAGACCGTGATGAGAGCGACATTCTGTAAAGGATCTGCTACATGATGATGGTGATTATATATATATATATATATATATATATATTTGTGTGTGAGAGTGTACCGTAGAGGTAGTTTAATTTTAGTCATCATCTATGATCATATATTCTGTCTCATTGTTGTGTGCTCAACTCACTTTGCTATTCAGTTGTACTAGATGTCAGACGCGTGATCGCCTACCCCTGTCGTCAAGGCGCTAGATATTGATAATGGCAGAGATGAGTGCAAAAGGTCCACGCTTCTTGAAACGTGAGATATGGCTTTCTTGAGATTAACAGCTAACAGAGGTCTCCACAGGTATTGTGAGACCCAGGTATAACTGACCCGTGAATGTGAATCTCGAGGGTTGGGGAAAATGTGAGATCCACGTGCAACCACGAGTGGGAAGAGTCCTGTGGTCGTTTGAATCAGTTGTTTTCAGTTCGCCTTACTATAAGGGCGTGTAGTTCAAGTCCACTTGTCGAATGGACTGTGTTTTAATATTGTTTTATCCTGTAGAATTCATGTGAACTGGCGGCTGGGATGATTGTGGTGTACCGTGAATTGGACTTTAAGAATTATGTCAGTAATGTCTAGAATGGACTTGTGTAGGCCATGTGTTGTGGGGTCGACAGTGTTGTGGCTATGGGACACGTGGTGGGCGGGTTTCTGTAAGGGCACAGAAGTGCCAGGGAACCTTGGGTGTTAACCAACTGTCCATGTCTGGAATTACTGCCGATGCGACTATTTGGAAAAGCAGTAGAATAAATGACAGTGTGCCATCGATCACCACTTACCTTCGTCGTAACGTGTTGCGTCCACATTAAAGAGACAGATGCACTATTACAGAGATGACTTTTAATGTTTTGGAGTTGACCTTGTGATTCTAGTGTTTGTAGTACTTGTGAATTCGAGAACTTTTGTAGATATGAGTAAAGCATAACCTTCACCCACTTCACAAGATATTGTAACCCACTCTCTCGGATCGCATATAACAAATGGGAGCCAAGATGGGATTTTTTATCGTTTTACGAGTTTTTTTATATTTTTACCCTCTTCGGTACGTTAGATGGACAATGTTGTTATAGCAGTATGTTTAGTT